AATAGAAAAAGGTGGCATTTGTACGACCCTTTACGATATATGTACATATTTAGAAATTCAGATTACATTTTTATGAAAATTGCTGATTTGTTAGGTTCATTAAAAGTTAGATTCGTATAATTTTTAATTTCAATCAGTTCGTATCTCAATAATATTAGTCCGTGATCAGAATTTTATGTAGTATCACAACTCTGTGTGTGTGTGTGTGTGTGCGTGTGCGTGTGTGTGCGCGCTTGTGCGTGTGTGTGTGTGTGAATACTCCAATTATTGACTATAATTTACTCACCAATAATTAATTGGGTAATTAAAGAATCTACGACCCTGTTACAGATCTATTGAAGAATTGTCTCAAATGTTTATAACGAAACGTAAACTTAAAATCCACACATAGAACACACACCATAGCATGGAGGATTCCCAGTTTGCGTTTCACTATACTTACGTCTGTCTTCGATTCAGTAGTAGTAAAAAAATAAAAGATAAATGAAATTTAAAAACAGAACCTACTGGAATCTCAAAAGCAGTTTAATATTTTCGATACACCTAAAGATCTATCGACACTAATATAACGTCGACGTAACGTAACCAGCACGTAGGCCCTACGTAACCAGCACGTACGACGTACGTTCGGCAAAGTAACCTGTGTTGTAGTCTTTAGGATAGGACAGTGTATAGAGAAAAGCGAAAAAACCCTCGGAGCAGGTAGTGGACCCTAAACAGCAGCCAGTTCGCCTGCCGATTCGGTGTCAAACGTGAGCCCCTGAGCTCCCTGCTTTTACACGCTTTTTCCTATACCTCGTCCTAAAGACTACAGCATTGGTTATATTGCCGAACGTACGTCCTACGACCTATGGAGACCCTACGTGCCGATTGCGTTACGTCGACGTTACATCGAGTTACGTTAGTGTAGATAGATCTTAAGATAGTCTCGCGTTACATGGATGTACTCTAAATTACAGAAATTTGTCTTGTGTATCAGAAAGAAACTATAATAAAGTATAAATAGCAGAAACTGCACTCACGTCCTTGTTGTGGTGATTCCCCTTTGATGGAAGCGATGCGCGGTGTGTCTTCGGTAATTTCGATGTCAACAGATTGTTTGTAGACGTCCGCTATAGAGACAGTGCATCGCAGGTGTAATCGGCCGTTCCGGAATATGTCTTCCGCCACCTTGAAGTCGATGGTCGATTTCGATACGTACGAATCATCGTCTTGAGGTATGGCCAAGTATCTGGTTCTGTATATCATGCTGTCGTTTGCGATCTGGAAAGAGATTCATATACAGGAAAGAATGGTTAAAATTTTTAAATCATACGGGGTCATCAGGGATTGCAACAGATTTGAGGTCACTTGACTTTTTGTTCTTAGTACGATTTAATAATACACGATTCGCAGGTAAAAAAAAATGGTCGGCTTCAGTTAAATCGGGCTAGCGAGCACTGAAACGATTGAAACTTGAAAAATTGGACACTTTTTCGCCGTTAGTTTACCAGGAGGGTGACGAGGCTTTGTTTCTCATATCGCCAACAACACTCGAGAGTGATTTGAGCATAAAATGATTTACCATATTTTCATTACGTACGTTACGTACGTAGAATATCGTCGCGTTGGTGAAAGAATAGTGAAAGGAAGCGAGCGTGCGCATCAAATAAATAGTTAGCGGATGGACAATGACTCACATTCATTTCGAAGCGTACGTACCGTTACATCTACGTGCGTATGTGCGCACATATTTTACAGAATGTAAATTATTGTTTCGCGAAATCCACAAGGAAATTAGGTATCCCATTCATATACATCAAACAATAATTAGTACACGAACGTATATTCATAATAAACTTTCATTCTTCTTGGTCAAGTAAAACCGTAACTTTCACACTCACATCAACACATTCAATTCAATCATCAAGTCACAAGTTCGAAAAATTATCCATCAACCAATACAACGACTGAAACTGTTACTGTCCGGCTGTTATATTACTCGTCCGAGGCTTTTAACGTCTTCCCAGACAAATACCCTCATCAATCGTGTCCTCTGGTCGAATCAATTTCTCGTTTGCCACTTTCGATGTCCTTGGCAACTTGTCCTTAGCGAACCGTGACACGAACATAGACTGTAGACGAATATCGTTTCCCCTCTGTTATAGATGTTACACAGTTACATTGCTCTTAAGATAGATGAACAGATGAAACCGGAGTCTTTCCATTTTTTCTCCGATGCATCCCTTTTCTTATTTTCATCCTTGTCTGGAGACTGTAAGGAATGAGAAGCAAAGGAGAGTCACTCGGCGTTATTACGTCCGGGAACAAACGAGACTCTGCATTAAGTCTACGGAATTCGCGATCACAGGGGACTATGCGAACCGAACTATTCTGAAAACTATAATGCATAGAGCTCGCGCATTGTCAGTATATATTTCGTATTCCTTTTATCGTCTAGTGGATTTCTGAATGAATACGTATGTACGTAGCTTCTAAAAGAAGAATCTTTTCAGTGATCGACATATCGCAAGGATTAACTCTTTTCATTCCTTGGCAACACGCGTTGTTCTGTATGTGTGTCTGTAGTTCCATATCTCAAAAATAGACAGTCTGACTTTGATGCGGCTTGTTTTTTGGTTTTAAGTGTTAATAGCCACATTTCAATAAAATAGGTTCATTGTGCAGGAAATCTTTGAAATTTTGCAAAAATCTTGTTTACATTGAGATATAATTAATTGCAGTGCCATCAGTCGAATATTTTATGCAAGCGATTGTCAATGCTGTCAAAGCAATTTAATAATTTAAAAACCATGCTTCACTTTGCATTTTGGCAAAGGAAATTGTTGTTCAGAAACACTTACAGAATCACTTCTCTTCAGCTATAACACTAGTTCTGGGACTCCCTGTATGTATATTTACTCTGATTAGCACACTTAATAATTTTTGACAGTAGTATTACCTATTTATGTATACGCAAAGCTATCACAGGTTTTGCATTCATCCAACATTCTAAACATTGTTGCGAAAATTTTTCTAGAAAATTCGCTTTTCAATGGTTAGTCGGATCGCGAAAACTTTACGAGTGTTTCATCGTGTTTTTCTCCGCGCGGAGTTTCGCGTAAATGCTGTAAATTCAGCGAGTTTTATCGTTTTCTCCGAATTTCTTGTGTCTCTGTCATTTATCATCTTCCCTGCGTCAGCATAACTGTACCGGCTTCATACGAAATTCCAGCTGCGGAACCTCTGAACGCAGAATTTAGGTCGCGCGTTCTTTTCACGGGGAGAAATGGAACCCGTCAGCTCTTGCTTATTTCGGCTTCTGGGAAGTTTTTCCATGCGTACCAAGTGCAATCTCGAAACGAGCCGACATAGTATTGTAACTTCTCAAATTTTTTGGCTACCCTTATTAGGAAAATCTCGATTATGATTAAAGCATGAAACTAATCCTACCTGAGAATTCACTTCTTCTATTTAATACTTCTATTCACATAATATATTTTACTTTCTTACTAGCTGAAATGTTCGATATTACGGGTTGATACGAATGTTACAACTCTTGTCACTTGAAACAAATCAAATTGCGTTTGTTACATCATTTATAAGAACAATGTTTTAATCGTTTTCTCGCTTTCATTGATGGTAGTTAGATGCAATAACATTATTCGATTAGAATATTCCAGAGGAAAATGTTTAGAATTAAACCTTTCTTCTTGTTGCTTATTATAAACTGCGTTGCGAGAATATAATATTCCGCTACATCTCGTCTGGATAAGACATATTGGATAAAATTTGCAAATTCGATTTTCTCGAAAACGAGGTGTCAAAGGAAAAAAATTATTCCTTCGTTTCTCTGTAATATTGAGTTGGTAACTAAGTTCCCGCCATTTTTTTTTTAATTTTTCAGAAGTTTATTTTTCAATAAAAATTAACAACTAATTAACCAATAATGTATTCTCCCTTGTTGTTTACAACTTTTTCCTAACGTTCAACAAGATTTACAATACCTCTTTGGTAGTAAATCACCAATCATGGTTTCGACTTGGATCTGCCAGTTCCTTCGTCGTTTAACGCGAATTTTCGTGCAAAAATTGGTTTAATCGCTCGTCATTGAACTAAACTGGACAGTCAGAACGAGGTGCATCTTTCAAAAACGAACGCGTCAACCGAGCGCTCTGATTGGTCGGGGTTTTTTGTTAATAACTCCTCAACTACGCCTCGGACTACTTTTTCGCTAAGGAAAGTATTGTTTAAAATTACATCAGGAACCTCCCATTTCAATATCTTACACTATTTTTGGGACACCCTGTATAGATAGATACTACAAAGCGTTTACATTTCGCAAGAAATGGATAGAAAAATGGAGATGGCGACTAAAACTAATACTGTCCCTTATTTCCATGCCAGATCCCTTGAAGAAGAATTATACACACACCCTAAAAATTTAAAACCAAGAAAGTTCAATCATTGTGAAAAATAAGAAACTGTATTGTTGTGTTCTAAACGAGTTTCCACTTCGACGACTTGAAACTTGGTAACACGTATCATTCTTGAAAATTGCAACGCTTTCAAAGATTAAATCGGAGAATAACGGGATCTCATACACGAGATCCTGATTGCAGGGGTGAATGGAGTATTTATTGGTTTTCTGTTCGATGCCGCGCGATGTTCGCATGGAAGAATCTCTAGCGAGCAACGTTCGCCGCCGGATTTCGATTCACAAGCCCGACAAATTCGTGACACGGGCACCTCCAAGGGATAATACCTTTCCGATCGTCCAGCTACCGGAAAATGATCTTCGTCCCTTCTTTCGACGTTCCGAATTTACGACCTTCCGGAGTTGTACCTAGGACTACGCCAAAGATTTGTAAGCCAAATAACAGAGCAAAAAATTAGTGATTTTTTTTACAATCGTTCTATTGCGAAACCGACTGTGCCATCACGTGAAGAACAAAATTTTAATTATGTTACGTTTTCTACTCAAAAATGTCATTACTTAGTTTGTTATGAACATTTTTAACCAAAAAATTCATGGTGTTCTCAGTTTTTCATTTATAACATAAAAAATAATAAAATAATCTTAATGTTGTCAATAGACGAATTGTAGATAATCGAAAGACGAATAAAATGCGCTTTTAAACGTTTCGATCGAATAATTAGCAACTGAAAAAACTCTGAAAAACCGAAAAAATCAGTGTTTTTTTAAAAATGCATAACTGCCTGTCTGAGCGTTCGTCAAATGTTTTTGAATGTTTTGAATAGATCCGATATGCGTCGTTGAAACGTTCTCTTCCGAGAAACGATTAGTATCGGAATGTTTAGAAAGACGGGACGTGTCGCGTTACTTTTAACCCAACGGTTCGTACTTGAGACGCAGTCAGTCGAACGGTGTATTTTGCATAGTAAGGTTCGGGAGTTTCCTCGCGAGTATACGAGTGTTGTTATTCATTAACACGTTAATACGTATAACATACAAAAATCACACAAAATAGAGGTTCTGAACGTCCGGACGTTTCCCTGCACGGGAAACTCCGACAGAACCTGGTTCCGAGCATTACACGGGAATTGTTTCCCAAAAAACATACCGTTGACGAGCGTATAATCATTTTACATACAATATCATCCTTACCACACGCGACACATTCACACATTCAATTCAATGTAATTCACTTTTCCAAGGGTTTTTTATGCCTTCGGGCTTTTTCCCTTCATTAATTAATAACAAGGGTTTTTGAGCCTTCGGGTTTTTTCCCTTGCATAGCTTTTGAATAAACGATCATTTCAATTCTCCATAATATTGATTCATTATTTAACAAACCAATCTTTATCCAAACATCCTCTCGAACGTTTAATAAATAAGGTCCTCTCCGGTTCGTTACCGAGTCTTATCTTTCTCAGGTGTTTTGGGAATTCAAAACCCGAACCCATGAAAAGAATGAGCTCGGACAAACCAGAGTCGAATGGATTGCATTCATGTTCGAACTTTCGACGTGGTAACATCGAGTCTATCTAACACTGAGCTAAACGAGTTAATTTCTTACTCTATAAGAAATATCGAATGAGATTGGAATTTTCATGTTGAAAGTTTCGATCATACACTGCCATTTTTTAACTTGTAGGGCTGAGCTTCCGTAAAAAACTAGTAGTTTATATGCAATTTATGTGCGCACAGAATAGGCGTTGTCGGACAATTACTTTTTTCCCAATTACAATTTTAATTTTTTAATACGTTATCTTGCAGCGTTTTTCGTGGATAGTCTGATTTTAATTTTAAAAAATGCCAA